AAGGGCTGGAGGGAGGCAGCATGTCTGGCCTTGCAGTAATAGGCCTTGGGTTACTGCTGGTAATGCTGTCTTCCTCCTATGAGATTAGAGGAGGTCAGAACATGTGGCCTCCTCGCCGTTTCTGCAACCACCAACACTCCTGCAATTTTAACACACAAACTTGTATCTAACAATATTGCTGAATTTATTAAGTAAAGTTTGTAAGAGATTTAAATTCTTTAAAGCTTAACTAGTACACCAATATTTCTGGAGTGACAGCACTACCAGTGCTATTTTTCACTTGTTAGACTTTCTCAGCATTACTTTCTCAACTCACTGTTACTTTACATGGTAATTCATGAGGTTAAGCACAATGTCCGGCACAAAATAAAAACTCCTATCATCTTTCACTTCTCTCTTTTACATGCCAACCCCTAATCAATACAATAAACAGAATATGGATAAACTGCCCAGAGTAGGTCCTCATACCCTCCACCTCCTCAGCTACACAGGTAGGAAAAGTTTGCTACCTTTCTCTCACCTATTCAATCATTTAATGCCTTACTCTTAAAAGATTAAGAGTAATTTTTTTGAGTAGCCCAATTGTGTCAGCTGTTATGTCAGTTTCATATGTGATCTTATTTAACACTCAAATGGGAGTATTTTCATCATTTCACAGGTAAAGAATCTGAGGCTCAGGAAAAGACTTGCCCAAAATTAAACAGTCACAAACCGCAAAGCTAGCATTTTAACCTCAGTGTGTCAGGTTCCAAAAAGCTGTGTCATTCTCATTTATACACTGCCTCCTAACAGTAACCAAGATAAGTTAATTATGTCTTGAATTCCAGCTCCTCTCTTCATCTACTGATCAGAAAAAAAAGCCAGAGGAACAAATGAACCAAGTCAGTTAACAAGAGTTCCTAAATAGAATATTTAGTTTTGTTTCCAGCTTTAAAAAAAAAAAAAATCCAAAGAGAAGTAAGACTTACAACTGTTTGGAAGAAATCATATGGGCAGCTGGGGTCTTCATGTGGACATTAATTTCCTCTGAGAGCTCTTCCACAGTTTCAATGTCCACTTGTTCTTCATCATCCTCAAGATATTCTACACAATTATTCTGAAATAAATCATTGCAATAGTAAATAACATATTGGGAAGCAAGCAAATCTTTTCAGCTGAATGCCTCCCTTATAAAACCAACTAGTGCCAAACACTGACCTTCTACCACAAATACTGGTAATTCTAAACTTGTTAATTATAAGAAGGAATTAAGTCAGAAAGATAATATATGACTAGTGTTAAGAACCAGGAAGTATACTCTAAGTCACAGAGTCCTCAAAAGCCTGCATTGATGCTTTAGTGTCATTTCAAGTGGATAAAATTCAGGTCCAAAAATATTAAGTTTGGATGAATCTTAAAGATCAAATAGTAAAATAAAATTTCGTGAGAGAAAAAAAAAAACAGGAAGGAGAAAAACCCAAGTTCTATTTTAAGGGCACTTCATGGCTAACATTGTATCAGACACCCATAATCAGCATGATACTCAAGGATAGACAAGGAAATGAAAGTCTTCTAAGTCTCTCAAGTGCACAGAATGAGAGCTTTTGAAGAATTTCAGATTTCAAAAATAGCCCAGGTTTGCTGTACTTGCTTATTATACCAAAAAATGAGTCAATCAGGAAGCATTTATTGAGCACCCGTCACAGAAAACTGCTGTATATTTTATTTAACAGAATTATAATAATGTATGGGATATGCCAGAAACTAAAAGGAATATGTTACCTATCATCCTACTATACCAGAGGTACACCTCAAAATGAAGCACCTCAATTATCTTACTAATTCTGTATTTAAATTTGTTGGAAAAAAAATTACTTAGGAGCTCTGGTAGCATAGTGCCTAAAGCACTTGACTGTTAACCAGAAGGCTGGCGGTTCAAACCCACCAGCCACTCCTCACAAGGAAGGCTGGGCAATCTATTTCCATAGCCATACCGCCTTGGCAACCCAAAGAGGGGTCACTATGAGTCGGGTCCTACTTGATGGCACATAATAGCAATAATAAATTAAAGGCTCCACATGACCGACAAGCAATAAATGTAAGCCACCTAGGTACTGAATCCTAGCTTCCCCAATTATGCTTTTGTTCCCCACCCTAATTAAGCACAATTTAGTCACCAAGACCTTTACCCAATGACCCAAACAACTACAAATAAATTCTAACGATCGTGTTCTTTGACTATCCGTCTATACCTCACCCATAAAATAATTAAATTGTCTTATCTAAGCAGTCTCGGATATATTTCATAAATTCAACTTAATCTCATGAGTAATGGCAAAAGACACATCAAATAATGTATACTAAAATTAATTTAAGAAGCTAAATCAACAGATTCCCCACAAAATCTAAAAGCAAAGAGCCTGAACAGTAACATAATTAGATACCATATAATAATCTGTCTACTGCATGGTTAAACTGCAGGCTTTGTAAATACCATCCAATAACCTACACAACAGAAGATTTAAATGAAGGCTGCTTGCTACTTACAGCCTTCCTCAAGCATAACGATATCACAAGCATGGGACACATATATAAATACAATGTAACATTTAGATTTTAGAGATCATTTAATACAACACCCTTACTTTAAAAAATGTCAGTGTACCTTGTATGTCAGATTCCCTACCGGGATGGTCAAGCAAAGCTATACTACATGATTAAGACACTCTTAAGGTTCTAGTAAGTCAGTCACTAATAGCAATAGTTTTCACTAGTTTTAAAGTTGGACTATTTTTAGTCTGATGCTTACCCAAGATAACAAGGGAAGGCTGAAACAGAGTAACGTCTAAGCTTAATGAATTAAGCAAATATTTCAATTATATATAAAATAGATGTTCTTGCAAAATAGTAAGACTATAGAGTATATTATAAACAGGGCAAATGCATATTGAATCATTCAATTTTAAAGCTACATTCTCACTTTATAAATGAGATACTGAGATACAGAAATAATCAGCATAGAAATAAAAATATTTAAACATTTTAGAGTTTTGAAAATACTAATTTTTATATTATATTTTATATAAGGCAGTTGTTGTTGTTGTTGTTGTTATGTGCCGTCGAGTCAAACCCGACTCATAGCAACCCCTCCTTGGGTTTCCGAGGCAGTATCACTACGGAAGTAGGATTGCCCAACCTTCCTTCCGAGGAGTGGCTGGTGGGTTTGAACCGCCAGCCGTCTGGTTAGCAGGCAAGTGTCTTAGCCACTATGCTACCAGAGCTCCTATAAGGCAGTTAGGACCAAATAAAAGAAAAGCCAAATGAATCTGAAGGAACTGTGATCCTAAAACAATCAGCTGTGTGACAATCTGTGCAAAGGTTTATCATTTACTCCTGAACTCAGGGACAGTTTAGATTTAAGGGCACCCCACAAGGCAGCTGCTTGTAGTCTGTTTTACATTAGACCCTGCATCAAGAGTTGGCAAACTACAGCCTGCTGCCTGCTACTGTAAATAAAAATTTTATTCAAACATAGCCATGCTTGCTCAGTCACATCTATGGCTGCTTTCATGCCCTACCAACAACTGAATAGTCAAGTCACTGCAACAGCCAAAGTATTTACTATCTGGCCTTTTACAGAAAAAGTTTGCCCAACTCTTGCTCCATTATCATCCCTGGCCCTCACTTACTTAATTCAGTAAATATAACTTTATTTAGAAGCCTAGGAAAATGGCTTCAGAAAATAAAAACAAACAACCCCCCCTCCAAAAACAAAAACACACTGTAAAGGGTCCTATTACAAAGGAAGATGACCAAATTTTAGAATATAAACTCTAGAGACTGAATGTTAATTATGTAAGATAATTAAAAGGTAATTCATGGCAGGATTCTATTAACATACTAGATAGTATTTTTCAGTTTTTCTCCAAAAAGAAAAAATCTCTCTAAATAAAGGTATTTATTCAGTTCTAAAGTCATCCATTCCCTATTTCTTAATATATCTATCAGATCATCTATAATCACCTCACACAGAAAATGCCACAGAAACTGACTGAGATCAAACGGGTAGGCAGGGGTAGTGGGTTCAAGGATTTGTTTGTTTAAATGCAACTTGAAAGGGACTTCTCATGCAGTATCCACCAAAGGCTTAAGTCAGCCTACCTATATTACCAGGTAAACTAGGGGTCAAAAAAAAAAAAAGCTCAATAAATGTTGCCTGACTGACAGCCTAAAAACTATAAAGTCATTTAATCATGATCTAAAACTTAGGCATCCAATTGAATAGTTCTTAGTGCTCTTCTGGAAAAGCTACTCCTTCCAACAAATCCCATAAATCTTTGAAGTTTCAGTCACAACAAAAACAAGCTCACCACCTTTTCTACATCATCAACCTCCTCACTCTGGTAGTCGGAAACTACATCCACAATCTCATCAATAGAATCATCAGTTTTCTCATTCTCATCTTCCTCTTCCTCCTCCTCCAAATTCAAAACAGTGAAGTCAGTTCTGCTTCTCCCAACCTTCTTCTCTTGCTTTGGTTGTATCTGCTCTCCTGGTAGCAGAAAGTGACTCTGAAAATGTCCATCTCCTCTGCTGCCTTTTGTAGCTTTCCTCGGAACAAGGGAAAAGGCTGCAGGATTAGAAATCCTACTCCAAGAATCACATTCAGTTTTTAAATCTCTGGAATCCTCAGAAGTTCCATTTTTCCCAAGTAAATCAGAGATGCCTTGTTCTTGCTGAAACACATTTGAATTTTCCTGACACGTTTTTATTTCTTTAATTAACTGGTCATCTACCTCTTTCTTACACTCTTGGGAAGTTCCAACACACTTCCGGGTCAAAGGGCCTTTCAGGTGTTTCCTCCATTTCTCTCTAGTATTGTCCTTTACCACAGAGTTTCCACATCCCTTGTCCTTGGCCTCTGGCTGTGGATTAAACTGCTGTGCCACAACTTTGCTCCCTGATAACTCAAGTTTACATTCTTCCTTAGAGATAACTGGAAATTCACTTGATTTTTCCTCTAGATTGTCTAGTATGTTCTGCTGTTCCACTTTCATATCACCAAGTTTTTTAAACTGTATATTACTTTCACTTTGGACTATCTTATTACTGGCTTTTCCAGAAATGGTCTTAACTTCTAGAACAGTCCGTTTTTCTTTGGAACTATTATGACTCCTAGGCCCACACTCTTCACTTACATCTTTATAGTCCTCTGGGTGTGACCCAATAATACAGGAATGTTTGGAAGGTGTGGCAGTTGTAGGATCTTCTGTAACAGATTCATCATCAAAATTATCACCCCTGTCTTCCAATGAATCATTTAGGGTTTCTTCTGAAGCAGGAGTTTCTGAGTTTTGGTTGATTTTATTATTATTAGCCTCAGGGTCTATGGCATCTCCTTCTGATATCACAGTCTTCTTAGTTTCCTGTTCTCTTAAAGAGCATGGTTCATTTTTATGATCTGTATTCTGGGATTCCCTCTTCATCTGCAGTGAAGCAACATGTTGAAGAATGGAGCTGGGAACAGGCTTTTGTCCTGGGAGCTGCAACAAGGCAAAACTACCAGACTGGAGAGGAATAAGACTGGCTGTACCAATAGGCTGCCCTCCTGAGCTATAGGTTATTTTGGTTTCAGAGCCTGTTTTATTTGCAAAGCTTTGTGGTTCAGGAGGAGAAATCCTCAGGGTCAAAGTACCAGCCTGAGACACAAAATTAGATCCAGAGGAAAGCAATGACGGTGCCTGAGTGATGACATTCACTGCCGGAGAAGACCCAACAGCCTGAATTACAGGGTTAACGACAGAAAAAGCAGAGGATGAAGCAGAAGATGGTGGCGTCTCAGAAGGTTTAGAAGGAGCAGGTAATCGGATTCCCATCACAGACCCTGGGTAAGATAAAGAAAATTTTAAGTCATCGCTGCCCACATCAAGACTTCCAAGCATTCTATTCTTTTTGGACTAAGAGATTAAGATGATCAGTTTTGGTGTATTGATAGATCATATAACATACTACCAACTGTTTCTACAAAAAGAAAATTCATCAAAAAGATCTCCAACTTTATACCTGGATTCCGAAACATGACAGGCTGTAAGTTGGGCTGGGTATTAGAGCCTCGAAACTGATGCAAAGGGAGGAGTTGGACAATTTGACCATTAGGATGCCTGAACAGGTTCATTCCACTTGGGCTCTTAACAGGCTGCAAGACCATCCGATGTCCCTGAGGTTGTGTGTTCGGGACAGGTCTGAGAGTAGGCGAGCCCTGCTGCACTGGAATCAACAACAGTCGAGGTCCAGTACGTTTCACTGTGTTAGGAGAGACCTGTGGAGTAGCCACTGGAATCGGAGGGGCATTTTCTGAAAAATAGGAAATGGAAACATGGTATCAGAATTCTCTTTTAACACATGTAGGAAAAATTGTAATGCCACAGGATATGACCATGCTGCAGACAACTTCTAATCTGAATTATAAAGTTGGTAAAATTGTGTACCTATATGATACACTACATAACAATCCAATAGCTTACTGAATAGTCTAATGACTGAGAACAATTTATTCTAAACTTAGGTGATTAACCAGACTTTGCAGGGTTTTACAATTAGAATGGTAAAATTTTAAGAAGTACAAATCGTCAAGAGATACATTTAATGGGATAATGCTTTTGGCTAACGAAAAACACGGGCAGGCCTCTAAATCTGGCTTCTTATTAAGGATAGAGAGATCATTTTTATGATAAAATTATCTTCCTCAATTTTTAAACTGAATTGCTGGCCAACACTTGTTTGACTTCCACTTAAGTAAGATAAGGCCAAGGACTAAAAAACCATGAGGTATAAAGTGTGTTGGTTTTTAAACTTCACTAATGAATAAGCAAAGTTTAAATAGTTGTAGAAATTCTTCTTCAGAAAGAAAAAAAATATACATACCCCCTAACAATGGGAAATTAAGAGACATCAAAGAAGCAGGAAAATAAAGCCTGGTTAGAAGAGGTGAAAGATAATTTTAAAACAAACAGAAAAAGCAGAAATTTAATGCAGAAGATGTGAATTAGAAGAGATTTCAAAACATTAATATTACCAAAAGTACATTTTGATATTTAAAAATACTAAAGACATGAGAAAAATAGAATGAGAACTTATAGATAGATTCTTTGGCCATGGGGATGAGGTAAAAATAATATTCATAAGCATAAATGAAGATGGTCTTACATTATCTTTCAAATTGGTGAGCTCACTTAGCAATGCTAATAAATAAAAACTTTCCATTAGTTTGTCACTAAATAAAATCAACAAATCAAAAACAGAAGTTCAGCTTACATGTCTTTCTATGAGACAGGCACTGTGCCCATGAAACATACCAAATTTCTAGAAGTCATATTCATAACGTTTAGATGACAAAAGAATTCATATGTAGAAAACCCAGGGCCACTTTTGAAAAAAAAATAAAAACACAAAGACCAAACTGAAAAAAAATTGTGTGTAATTTAAGTAACGATAAAAATCTATCTTCTGTGTATTAAGACACGTTAAAGGATTCTTAACTTCTTGAACTTAACTCTTCAAATTAAATTTCAGTCAGTGTTTTAAAACTAAATTATTAAAATTCCACGAATGAAAGTAGACTCTGATATATGCACATATGTGTCAGTTTACTTAAATGTGGGAGAGGGGAAGAGGGGAAAGTGAAAAAAAGGGGAAGTCAAATGAAAAAGTCATAGATGTCTAAGTGCTCCAGTTGAGATCTTTTGTGAACTGAGAACAAAATTACACACACTTCCTTAAAAACAGCAATTACCTGACTCAGCTCCATGTATAAAAACAGATAAGGAAATCTGCTAACAACACTAGTATTTCCTAAAATGGTGCTGCAGAAGATAACTTTAGGTGGTACATGCATATAGAATACTACTACATCTACATCATCAGAAAGTGATTTGCTTTTCAATTTTAATCTTTTTCATTATACACAGAAAAAAAGTATTAGTCTGTGATATATTATCTTTAAATAAAATGTCCAGCATTTTCGTTTTCTTCATTAACAGAAAGCAAGCACATGCCAAGAATATGTATTAGTTAGGCAGAATTTAGTAATATTGGTATGTTTCTGGCGTGCTTATTTATGAGGTTAACCTCTATTTGGTAAGTTATACTGCTTTCAATTTCAAGTAATATTTTAAAAAAATTTATTTAAGTAAACGAATGAGCTGACTTCAATGAAGATATTAAGTGAATTATAGTACAGATGGGACTCAAAGCAAAATATGTCAATGTATACCCTGAATGACCAAAGTCTGAGAAACAGTGAACTACAAAAACCTAACTCCTTTATCGTTTTATGACAGAAGAGTATAGAGAAGTTTAGAATTCATATGGTTTAGAACAGTTAAAATATAAGAGATATGAACTCTGAGATTCAACAGGATATCAAAGCAGTTTCATCAACACTGACCTCACTAACAATACTCTAAAATACCCTAATCATTTCTTTCATATCTATTTGTGGGGAGAAGTAAAAGACAAACAATTTTAATACTGTGAATCACTTTTCCTTTTGATAGAATTTCAACTTATAAACTAATTCACAAATCACCTCTTTACTAAAAAGACCTATGGGGATTCAAATCATGTCACTACCTGCAAAAATACTTAGTAAGAAAAACATCAATCACCAAAATAATTGCTGTAGGGTATTTATTTCTCCTCTAATCCTCAAAAGTCTTACATTCTGTTCACATTAATTCCATTGAGTGGACTAAGAGAACCACTTACTTTGCTTAGCTGCATTAGGACATAAAACATAAAACTAGCAAAGTGTAGATGTTCCTATTTCAAATTCATTTAACCTAAACCAACAACAGAAAGAAAGTAATTTTAACTATAAAGTTCATAAACATAGTTATATATAATACTCTAGTTCTAAACAGTGAAATATGTTCTCTTATTTCTATTTCAATCAGTTCATATATAATAATTACATCTGGGAATTATGTCAGTATTACATAAGAGTTGTGATGATTCACACATGAATTTTACTAGGCAAGAGGCGATAAATTGGTAGAATTTTAAACTTTCAGCAAGAAAGAGGTAAGCTTTCAGCTTGGCTACAGCATAGGCAGAAGCCCTCTCATTTCTCTTTTTTAATAAAAAGAAAAATACAAAGGTGAACACCTGCCTTTGGGGTTCCCTCCTCAGAGCTCTGGTAGCGTAGTGCCTAAGGCACTTGAGTGCTAACCAGAAGGCTGGTGGTTCAAACCAAACAGCCACTTCTTGGAAGGGAGATTGGGCAATCTACTTCTGTAGTGATATCACCTCGAAACCCAAGGAGGGGTTGCTGTAAGCTGGGTCCGACTCAACGGCACATAACAACCACCCCGGAAATGTACACTCCTACTAGTGTGCAGCTCTTAGTACATGGTGGGTTGCACTTCCTCCTGTGCCCACTTCTGCAACTTCTCTATGGCTCAGAGCTTTACTTCTATCTGCATTATTTCAGTATCTTTAGCCAGCATTTCCATCCTACTGTTTCTGAATGTTTTTAGTATCTCCTAGGGCAACCTCCAGCCCCACTAAATTGTCTGTCCAGTCTGTTCAAAACATCTCCTAAGTAAGTACCAGTTATTTTTACTAGTGCTAATTACAAAGCTGCAGATTTTCAGCGATTTGCCCTAACTCTGGATTAACTATGAGTCTTACTGTATTTATTTTTACTGTTATTTGGGTGAAAGTTTATAGAGCAAATTCTTGTTTCATATAGCATTTCATCCACATTCTGTTTCATGACACTGACTACAAGAGTCTTACTATCTTTAGTGTTCATTTTTGCAAAATGCAAAGGTTCTCAGGAATACATGTACCATTTAGAACAGAAACACCTACACTGTCACCCTACTATATTCATAGTCCTATCACAACCACAAACTTTTATAAATACCTGTACAGTAAAGCAGCTAATAACATCTAGGCCTTACCTGGTCTCTGGCTCACTGGTGGACTCCCATTAATTCCCGAGAGTATAATAGGAACAGAGCCCAGAGATGAAGTTGGTGTGGTCACCATGGAGGAAGATGCAGCTGTTGTCACCACGACTATGGAGGTGGAGGCAGTGGAAGCAACAGGAAGAGTTATGGTTGGAGAAGATGCTACCAAAGATTTAGGAAAAGCAATTGAAGCCACAGGGGTAGTTATCCCAGTAGTTTTGGTAAGGTCCACAGTGGCTGTGGATTGGGTAGGTATTACAGGGGTGCTGGTATTAGTTTCAGAGACCTCAACAGCCCCTGCAGTGGTGGCACCAGAAGAATGAGGAGTTTCTTTAGTTCCCATGTCAGATATAGCAGTCATAGGTGTCACAGAAGTAACATTTTCTAAAAACATTTGAGGGGTGGTAGTAGTGACAGCAGCAGCCACAGGGCTGCACACCTGAACTGGCTCAGAAGAAACCACAGGTGTGACGACCATTACTGGAGAAGGTCTGATACTGAACTTCTGTGGCCCTGTCAGGGGTTGGGGTGTGCTAACTCCAGGTATCTTCTGCTGCAGGGCTCCAACTTTACTCATCACAAACTGTGTGAACACACCACCAGGAGAGGGTCGAGCCGCTGCAAATAAAAATTTGCAGGTCAAAAATCTTTAGTTCTCATATTTTATCCTCTTAGTGAATGTGTTTATCAACATTTATTGTGCACCACTGGGTAATTTCTTACAGGTATTAGCTACCTGCATTATGAGTGACAACTTCCACCCACAGAAATAAAACACTTCCCTCAACCCAAACCAAACCCTTAATTCTAAGAGACAGGGATTCAAATGGATGTTCCTACTAAAATTCTTTTCGTTATACAATATATTCATATTGTTATGACACTAAAAAGACAATATAGCAGCAAACAAATTCATCACCTAAAACAGAGGATTTTTCCCTAATGCTAATTTTAAAATTTGTTTCCACTACTTCTTCCTGCTCCAGAACCTCCACCTCTTTATTATTGTCTTCTTATGAGACAAAAAGCAGTGAAGTTTCACATGTTCCTAAAATGTATACGCTTTTTTAAAAAGAGAGGAGGGTAGGATTCTTTAAAAAAGAAAAAAAATCACCAGTTAAAGATGCTTAAAAAAAAAATAAGTGCATTCTTTTTCAGGCATATAATGCCTATCCTTAATCTTCATACAACTCCAGCTTTTAGCTAGAAATTTCAATTTTCTATTAGAGGAATAAGAATCCAGCAATTTGTACTTTTACTGGATTTGAAACAACAAAAAGAAGAGTTCAACCAACCAACTATAAAGATACTTTCAAAGCTAGAAACAAATACTTCAAGAAGGTAACTTATTATATACACTCTAGTACTAAAATGTTAAGGAAAAGAAAGAAGTTTTCATTCACAGATCAAGGATGAACAGAATAAAGCAATGTTGCCAAAACTGTTTTATAAAGAGCTTCTACTTGAAACCTATACTAACTCAACCCACTGATTTTCTAGCTCCTTAGTTTCCTAAATGTAAGGGAACATACACAAGACTAGTGCTAAAATGGGAGCTCTGGTAGCATAGTGCCTAAGGCACTTGACTGCTCACCAGCACGCTGGCGGTTCAAGCCCACCAGCCACTCCTCGGAAGGAAGGCTGGGCAATCCTACTTCCATAGTGATACTGCCTCAGAAACCCAAGGAGGGGTCGCTATGAGTCGGGTTTGACTCGACGGCACATAACAACAACAACTGCCTTATATAAAATATAATATAAAAATTAGTATTTTCAAAACTCTAAAATGTTTAAATATTTTTTATTTCTATGCTGATTATTTCTGTATCTCAGTATCTCATTTATAAAGTGAGGATGTAGCTTTAAAATAGTAAACTAAGGAAAGTATTTAGACAGTAAATTCTTCCCTTTTTAAAAACAAAATTAAAAACTTAAGTCTCTTCTACATTAATAAAACCAGCCTAAAAGCCTGGAAACTAACAATTGTAAAACTAAGAAGAATTCAATTTATCTAGAATTACAGGTCATTAAAAGTGTTACATTAAAAAAAAATAAACTTTGACACCAAGAATAATACCCAATTCCTTATTTCTCTAATCTTTGTATCTGTACTCACGGACCCAATATTAAGTTACCAAATATATATATACTCCAACTTACCAATGGGCCTTTTTGCTGGGACAAATGCCTTCAGATTCTTCCCAGGGCGATTTGATGTAGTGCTGGAGGAGGATGTCGTTTTGGAATTGGATGTTGAAGGCAACAGGGTACGTGGTTTCCTGGATGCAGCCACGTTGGCATTGGATGCTACCTTGGAGATGACAGTACTGAGGGTTGAGAGGTCCAGGACTGAGGGTCGCAACCTGCCTGTGATATAAGCAGCTAGCCTATTGGCTGGATGCAATGCCCCCATCTGTCCCAATAGCAACTTAGCCTGCGGGTAACTCTTACCATTAACCTGAAACAAGTGGCAAAGAGAAATTCTGTAAAGATAAAATTCTCTGGCTAACTCCTCTCCCTTGACAGGGGTTTCTTTCATTTTTACAAGGTTGCAAAAGTCTAATTTTCAGATTTAAAAGGGAAAAAGAAATAAACTTTTTCCATTCAGGCTAACCTGAGTATTTAGAAGATGGGAGGAAAAAGTGCTGCCAGCTAATATTCTGAACTAATCTCATCTTCATTTAGATAGTTTGGACACAGAGAATATTAGTAATATATCATTTCTGCATCACAGATATGTCAAAGATGCCATCAAATCTGAAGAACCATCTACTTATTTTATTTGTAACTAATTCTGGTTACACTGGCAAACATGAAACACTCTTCCATGGAATCTCCCTGGTAAGATCAGAAAGGCTTAATGAAACTCTTTCAAAAAGAGTCTTTTTAAGCACTCTTCATATTTGAAAAAATATATGATGAATCTAGTTTAAGTTATATAACAACCATTGTTTCAATAACCTAAATAACAAAGTCACTCCAGTTTTCGATTTTCAAAAAACTCAACTTCATCTCCTAGAAAGACTTGGAGCTGGAGATAAATGCTAGTGGAAACAATCTAATTCTAGAAGTAGTCACTAAACTGTCAAAAGAAAGTGAACCAATGAATGATGTCAAGATTGTCTCTACTGCCTGAGTTGACTTAGCCTGCCTATCTAGGGACAACAGCATAATTTCCTTTCAAAAGAAAAAAAACTACTTAAGTTTTTTACTCATGTTTTCCAGGTCATATTTCTGGGTGATTCTAGTTAAGACATACTTTTCTGAGCTTCCTCTTCATCATTTAGAAAGGTGAGGGTAATAGAGTAAAGGGGAGAAAATTCCCACTCTCTAAATTAGTATGTAATTTGTGAGAAAAATAGATACTGCGAGACACTTCATCTTCAAAGACACGAGACAAAATTACTCTTTGCTACTTAAGTAAAATTATTATTACTCCTACAAAGATCAGGAAAATCTTTGCCTCAAGTCTGATATAAAGAATGTGATCTTCCCATCTTAAAATAAACTTTATGTAGTTCTCCAAGCCATATGGAGTCTAGGTTAGATACCCCTACCTGTTCCTTTGAAACTTGCTTTCAAGACTACTAGCAGCTTCCCCAAAGTCTATATTATAGTAGCCTGACTGCTTACGCAAGTTCACATGGTTGCTTCGTGACTCTTCAGCAAGAGAGGCGAACACAAATTTCTATGCCTGTATTTCAGGGCTCCAGTCTCACTAGACATGATCTCATAGAAGTCTCAGTTTTCAAAGTACCAATCAATAAATGCAAATAAATAAACCTGTGTTTAAGGGAGAAAACATAAGTCTCCTCATCATAAAAAGTTTAAGGAATAACAATAAAGTCAAGTGACCTTGACAATAATGTCATAATACTTTGACACATTTGCTATACTGACATAAAAGTGCAATTACCATTGCTGAGCCAAAGGAGAAAATCTTTTTGCCTATGACTCTTAATTCAATTCAGAAACTTTCCTTTTTAAATGATTTAAATGATTTTCTAGATAGATGCCAATGTAATTTTATTAATATAATCTGCCTGAATGGTTGTTGTTATGTGCCATTGAGTCGGACCCGACTCATAGCGACCCTTCCATAGCGACTTCCGAGGCAGTATCACTACGGAAGTAGATTGCCCAACCTTCCATCCGAGGAGTGGCTGGTGGGTTTGAACTGCCAGCCTTCTGGTTAGCAGTCAAGTGCCTTACTAAGCAGTAATGATAGAGGTACTTAAAACAATACATATAGTGGCGAAAACTATATAAATCAAGTAAAGAAAAAAATAATTAAGAATATCAGAGACAAGAAAAATTTTAAATCTCATGTATGTAAATAATACCTTATTAAACTGAAAATTTTCCCAAGTTTCACAAAAAAAAATTAAAAATAAAAATTTTCCCAAGTTTCAAACATGTATTTCCTACCTTAAAGTCAATCTCACCTCCTCCTTAATTACCTATCCCTAACATCCTATATGGGAGCTCTGGTAGCATAGTGCCTAAAGGCACTTGACTGCTAACCAGAAGGCTGGCGGTTCAAACCCACCAGTCATTCCTTGGAAGGAAGGTTGGGCAATCTACTTCCATAGTGATACCGCCTCAGAAACCCAAGGAGGGGTCGCTATGAGTCGGGGCCGACTCAACGGCACATAACAACAACAACATCCTGTATACGGGGATTTGTTAAAAAAAAAAAAGAAAAAAGCTGTCTACCAATGATAAATTCCAATTAGACTAAATCCCTAATTATCCTCACTTAGTTGTCAAAGTATCACCAGAGCCAGGCATTAAGTTTAAGAACACTTTCTAGGAAGACTAGAAAGAAAACTGTAAGCTAATATGGGGCTCTCCACATGATATAGGGCCCACAAGGAGCTCTGAAAACTAAAAATGTTAACTAATTATGAAAAGATGCTATACCCAGATTGAAGATAATTCTCACCTGGATAAGCCCAGATGTGCTTGAACTGGGTTTACGTTTATAGGCCACAAGCTTCCCTGCAGGAGAAAGCCCTGCATAAAAAGGCAGACCTTTGCCTCCATGCAATCTTTCCCTCACTGAATCCAAGGCATCTGTCTGCACAGAAGTGAGATCATCCATTTTCCCAGGGGATAATGGACCATCAGGAGTCTCTGATTCAGATTTCTCAGCCATATCATCTTGGTCTTGACATGATGGCATAGAGATTTTCACACGAGAAGAATAAACAGGAGGGTTCTTCTCACCCCGGCTCTTTCGCTGAGAAGCCAATTCAATGATGAAGCTGCCCACCTTAAGTGATTGTGGCATGTTGCTATTGATGTGCTGCGATAAGATGCTCAAAATCTTGTTCCGATCCTCCTCCCAGTTGCAGTCTGAGATGATCTCTATCAGTTTGGTGGGACCACCAGGTGACCTCTGATGCACGTAGGAAGTAGAAGAGGATTCCCCTTCATTGCAGGAAGACTTCCAGCTCTTTTCTAATAAAGAATTAAGAGGTATTTCTGTATCACACTATTGTAGTAAACTTTGAAAATATTCTTATATTTTCCCTCGGTACTCAGGAAAGTACCACAGTCACTAAACTGGCAGAAGAAGAGTGAACTAGAATTCAACAGTTACTCAGTGCGCCATTCCCATGTACTTCCCACGACACTTAACACTATAATCTGGGTGTTTTCCAGGAAGAAGAAAGATCCCAGAGAATTAGACTACACTGGCATTCACAATCCTGATGACTGGGCTTTCGAATAAAAAAGGCAATCTCTCAAGACTGCTCTAAAATAAAGTGTTATCTTGCAAACAAAGCATGACCATAACCAAGGTTAAGCTTGTTCGGTATAGTTTAGTATTCTGCTATCCATATATGCAAAACAAAGATGCTACAAGATGCCTTGTAAAACATAAAGGACAGAGTAAATTCTAAATAGCAAGAGTATTCTGGTTGAAAACAAAGTGCAATGTACCTCTAGTTTCTATAGGAAATACTTCTGAAATACTTATGTGCTTCTAGATATGACTGACGAATTTCTACAACGTACACTCATCACTCATTGATCACTCATTGTACAAATGTATTTACATTCATGGCAACATGTTAACTAGATATATAGTTCACTAGACAGCTAGGTTTCTACAACAGGGCTCCCCACACAATGTGCTACAATTACATGTATACCAAAATACAGATCCTGTCAGCTCTCAGGGGTCAGCCCTTCAGGATGACTGTGCTCTCAGGCAGGTTTCTCCATCCTAGCAGTCTCCTTCACATACCTCAGTGTGTTAAAAAATCATTATCATTTTCTATGTGTACCATGACATTTAAAAAAAAAACTCTGGAAGCTCTATTGATTATGTGTCAGAAGTTTTAAGAAGCAAACCAATAGCAAATAGGTCACTACCTCTCATCACAGTAATTTGGGCAGCATTCTCTGCTAAATAAAGCAGTGATATTCCTTTCTCATTCTGCATTTCTACAATAGTGGTATCTACTAAAACCTGAAGTAAAATTACAGTAAGTACTAATGTCAATATTGCCAGGGTTTGGAAAAGAGGTTAAAACAAAATAAAACAAAAAATCACTGACTTACCCTAAAAGTCTCTTCTAACACAACATACCATACATATCAATAAGACTGATTTTTTTTTTTTTTTAAAGGACAGGAGTATTAAACAGATCAAATAATGGGAAAACATTTTACCTATTGTCTCTGTTTTTAGAAATTAGAAGTAAGGTAAATACATATTATGAATTGGTTGTTTGGGTTTTCCTTCAGTATTATTATAATCTGACTCTACAGGAATACTATCAAATTATAAAAATCAAGCTTTCATTCTCACCTTGTGATTTATCAGGATCATTCTCCAAGTCACAGGTGACTTGCTTCAAGGGCTGTTGTTCAGAATCAGGTTCCTAGAGAGAATGACATAGAACTACTTCAATTCAACACATAATTAGTATCTAGAGAGACTTGGCCACAAGCATTAAATGTCTCAAAGATGCTTAATTATTCAAATGATTAAGAAGTCAAAAACTTCCTATTTGCATGCACAGTTGCATTGCTGTATTATCTAACCCTGGGTAAAAGTAAGTTGCCTTGTTTGCCAATATTCTTAATAGTAATTGAATCACTAAGAAAAGGATTTACATTGTATTTTATAGTATATTCTAATACAGAGGGTAAAATGTTGACAAGCTTCAGTTATTTCGAAAATTCACCAATATGGAAAGACACAAATACAATTAATTATCAATTACTGATTTAATTAAAACCAGAAATGTTTACTTAAACAAACAAAAATTACTCCAAGGTCAGAAAGAATGATACTGTTAATAACAGTCCAACCCTAAGGGACAAAGCTCTAAAGCAGGTATGTCCCCAAACCTACTGCAATCTAATGAATTTCAACTCACAGTGACCCTAAAGGACAGAGAAGAATTGCCCCATAGAGTTTCCAAGGCTGTGAATTTCTATGTAAGCAGACTGCCACAGCTTTCTCCCACAGAGTGGCTGGTGGGTTCAAACTGCTAACTTTCAGGTTAGCAGCCCAATGCTTTCACCATAGCCCCACCAGGGCTCCTTTGAGTAGGTATGTAGAAAAATGAATTGATACAAACATCATGTAAGCTTTCTCTGTTCTATAAGAATTACCCAAAATTATTCTGAGAGTATAATGCAAATTCTAATACCAGCAACAAGCAATTAAAGATAAAGAGGAAAATTATACAACAAGTATTTACTTTTGTACTACAGTCCTCAGAACTAGAATGGCATGAGCTCTGCTGCTGAAATGATGGGGAAGGCTGTCTCCGCTCTTCTTTTTTTCGTTCATACACTCGAACTCGGGCACAAGTCATCATACTTTCAAAGTACAAGTAGACTGGATCCTTGTCCTCTTCCCGAATCTGTAAGTTGCACACAACAAAACATTTTCTACAGTCTATTGGGAAGAGTCTCCCAGACTCAGGAAAAAAAGGATGTTTAATCTTTCTATTACAACAGTTGAAATTTTTCAACGCAAACTTTAATGTTAAATACTCTGAGCACGGTTCATACATGTTGAATTTTGGGGTCGTCAGGAGGGATTCTGGTTCTCTATTAAGAAATTTTACATCATACCAGAGTAGTGCTTCTCAAACTATCTGCAGTGAAGGAGCATGCGTTCATTATCAGACCATCAAAGACTTTTGTAATATACAATAAAAATAAACTACTAGAAAAATAAAACATAAAAACATGTAAAATACAAGCCCAGGCTTTTTAAATCAAATAGACATAAAATTATTCTATCAATTTGCTATAAAAGTTTCTTAATATTTACTCATTTTTTGTACAGAAAGTCCCTGAGTTAAGTACAACACTTTAAGATTGAACCCCCAATAAAACCTATTATATTGAAAATTAAAGGTATATATACAATGGTTCATAGTAACAAATGAGTGCTACTTTGCAATACATCAAAACAATACAATAATATTGTATTATTATGTTAAAGATGTTTTAATGTTTAACTGTTTTTTGATGTTTTTTATACATGGAAAGGTACACTATATACTAAGACAAACATTTGACTGACTTTAGATATCAACCATATTTAACTGTTCTGACATACAAATTTGAAAAGACAGATATAGGAAACCGAACTCATTCATAATCCAGAACTGCCTGTACTTATTTCATGACACATCAGTAACAGTTTGCAGACCAGGACTAGTACACAGACCACACAGTAGTGTTACACTAAAGGATCTTTCTTCAGTTTAATGGAATGGTAAGACTGAAACTGATTCGATAATCTGATTTGCAGTGAGTTTGGGTGTTTTTGGTCTATCAATATAATGCCCAGCACAGTATCAGTTCTGACTTTTACCTCTTAAGGCTCCACATAGTTATATAAACATTACCTGTTACTTTAAATCTTAAGCCTTACTGATACTACTACTGTACAAGAAATTTGCTTGGAAAAAAATGACTATTTTCAGGGCTTTGAATTGGTTCAAAGCCTTGGTTATTTGTAAAGATTTTTCTTAGTAACTTTCTACTAATAATATGCACTTCCTGTCTCAATTAATATTCTACACCACAGGAATAAGAGCATCATGAAAAGACTTTTTACAAACCATGTCAAAAAGCTGATCTTCCTATGATCCTCTTAAAGAGAGACTGGGCTATTTTTAAGAATTATTACTAGTCATCTCTAACTTTTATGTTTTTAAAGTGCCAAAAACTAAAAGATTAAACTAGAAAGGAAGATGTCTTAAAGATATATTACCTAAGAACAAAATAATTCACAGAGTATCAACCAAAAATCTGGTTGGAACCCATCATCTTTACAAATATTTTAAGTTCCAATTTAAAAAAATTTAAAAAATAAGGAAAGAAAGAAACTCAATGCTTACCACAGGATTGGGTTTGGGAGTATATGGCTTTGCAGGTTTAATTCCAGTGAGCAGTTTGCCCTTCACAGTAGATAAAACTTCTGGCTGTGGCAACAACAACGGTTTCATAGGCTCAATGACAGAGGGAGTTGGAATATAAACTGGCTCTGGATCTACTTCACCTTCTACTTTCACCCATAGTGGGTACTGTCGAATGGGCTGTTCAGGCTCTGTTTCACATATAGCTTAACAAAAAGAAGGATAAGATTTTGGGCACTTTTGTCAACAAAAGTTCAATGTTCAGCCATTGCCAAAACAAAATATGCTCTCCACAAAAGGCAATTAACTAATTAAAATAATCAAACACAGGTCCTCACAAAAACCTTTAGCGGACCTCACATACCTTAATTAATTTATTTACCAAATACTTGTTGAATATCTACTAAGAATCAGAGAGATGACTTTAAGGCACTAGAATAAACACTGAGTTTATAATCCAGTAGGACAGAATAAACTAACAAATACAATCAAGTAATGGTAAGTACCATGTAGAAAAATACAGCAGAGTAAGGAGATGAAGAGTTAACAGATGATGCTGTAATATTTAACAAGGTCAGAGAAGGTCTTACTAAAAATGTATCATTCTAAACCACACATTTTTATAGTTAAAGTATTCGGCTGCTAACCAAACGATCAGGAGATCAAATCCACCAGCCGCTCTACACCAGATGCTTTAACCATTGTGTCACCAGACCTCCTATCAAATACAGTAGGCAACTGAAAATCAGAACTGTCGGCTAAAATTATGAAAATGGACACACTCCCCAGAAGGACAAGAACAACAGACCAAAAGCCTTCAATCTCGCCTACTCCATTAGAATGCTGTTCTACTTGATTCCTTTACACAGCCTGAGGTCCAAGACAGAGCATTTCACAAGGCTCCTGTTAAAATTGCACTGCAAACCCTACTACTATTCTTTATCTGACATCCCAAAAAAAGCTAGTTTCCTACGCAGGATAGGAGTTCTGGCCGCACAGTGGTTAAAGCAGTCAGCATACTATAATTCTTACTCCCATTTCTGTGTTTTAAACGTTTTCACTGTGAAATATAATATCCATAGAGAAAAGTACATAAACAATTTATGTACAGCTTAATAAATATTACCAAGTTACATCCATATAAAACTCACTGCCACTGAGTCAATTCTGACTCATAGCAAGCCCCTTGGGTTTGCAAAGTGGGAAATCTATGTGTAAGTAGATTACCTCATCTTCCTCCCACCGAGCAGCTGGTGGGTTTGAACTGCTGACCTCTTGGTTAACAGCCAATTTAACCACTATACCACCAGAGCTCCTTACAAAACACTCTATAGGTCAAGAAACAGAATTACTGCCATCAAACTCAGAAGTTCCCACATGTCCTTTCTCAATCATACTACTACTCCTGCCACAAAAAACAACCACTTAAATGATAGCCACCTCTTAGCTTTTCTAACACCAAAGTACATATCCCTAAACGTCAGTATTTTATTTTACCTTTTTAAATTTATATAAATGGAATCACAAAGATGTATGTTTTTGCCTGGCTTTGTTTCACTAAACATTCTATTTATAAAATTAATTCATGCTGTTTGTACATAGCTCTAATTGTTTTTCACTATGGTAATCTATTCCACTGACTATTCACATTTAGTCATTCTAATATTACTGGATTTCCAGGGTTGTTTTCAGTTTTTGGCTACTGTGAATCACAGTGCCATAAACATTCTTGTACAGTCTATTTACTGCAGCTCTGCTGATTACTGAGGGGTGAATCTGCAACTTTAGTAGATACAGCGAAACCTGTGAGAACCAGAACTCGACAGGAGTGCCTTGTTTCTCCCAGTCTCACAAGGTTTCCATTTTTGACAGGGAACAGTCTCACCACTTTTCTATCGCTCTCTACTAAGAATTCTACCTCAAATGGAGTGCTTCTTTTCAATTTTATAGGACTGGAAAAGAAACTAATCATTTCTTATAATTTATTCAAACTGTCAGATATGTGCATATACACTCAAACCTGTGAGAGCCGGAACTGGACAGGACTGTGTTGTTTTCAAGGTCTCCCACGTTTTCCACCTTTGACAAAGTGCAGTCTTACCATTTTTCTATGGCTTGTTTCAGCGTTTTCCTTCTTTGAAAGAACCATTTTACACAGGATCCAGTTTTCACAGGTTTTACTGTACTAATCAAATCAAGATATGGGTAAAATTCTCATTTTAATAAAAATATCTAACATCAACTGTTTACTCTGTTGCTGTTTTTTGATGAAATGTAAGTCAGTAGCCTTATAAAAAAAATTTTGTCTTCTTTAAACTTTCCAAATTCCTTCAAAACCTGCATATAGCCAAAAATTTGTATTCCGACTTAAAGGCTCAGGCTTTTCTAATGGTAAGTCTTTAACGTCTTCATCTTTAGACTGCAAGTCCACAATTTTATGCCCGTTTAAACATCCATGTCTGTGGCAATTTCTTTGTCGATATCAATGTAAGATGCAGCAACTGACCTTATTTTCTGAAACATCACTATAAATATTACTAATTGCGCCCTAAATCTGCAAGATGTTGTCAGGCTCAATAATTTGTATTGTAGACTATCACCATTGCCAAATAAGAAATCTCATTTCTGAAGGCATTTTCTTACATTACAAGTGATTGATTCCATGTGTTTCTTTTGTTTTTGTTGTCTTGGAAGATGCTCTGGAACCATCCATTAGACACTGAGTATCCGTCAATTTTTAAAAGTTTCGCTGTGTCCTGCGCCTTTGCTTGAAGGATAGGTCTTAAAATAGCAATGTTTTTGGCAGAGGTTTGAAGAAATCACTCAAAAATAGACTTGTTGATTTCTGCATAATTTCCTTCCTTTCCTTTCTTGACATTTATGTTGGTGATGTATTTTTCAACTACTTTATCCTTTTCTTTCATAATTGAGTAAATTTGCATTATGCTGCACTTGAATTTACTTACAGCTTGCTTGGCAGTCTTTTTTCCTTTAGTTATCATTTTGACCACGTCAAACTTTTCTTTCAGAGATAAAATGTTCACTTTTATCCATGGCTGTAAAAGAATAAGTTTTTTAAAAAGGAAAACAAAAAATAAGTTCTTATAAAAATGAAGGAATTTGTGACCTTCTCAAAAACCTAATTATCTCAAATAAAAAGAAAATATTGAGAACTATCAATATTACTATATGATAAAGTTAGCACACTGCAGTAAAATATTTAAGAATAAAACCACATGAAAAGAAAATTGTTGTTTGTACATACACTGAATGTGTTAAGTCAGGTAGATCCTTCTCTTTTTGGGCAAGACAAGAAAATTTGAGGAAAAGAATTTCAAGGAAATGGAGTGGATTGTGGAATAAAATATCAAAATTACAAATACCTAAGAACAAAAGTTAAAAAAGACAAAACCTCAAAACAAGGGGAAAATGTATGTTTTGCTAGCTTTTAAAATAAAGGAATATAAATATTAGTATCTCTTACTTTTTAGCATAGTGCCTAAGACACTTGACTGATAACCAGAAGGCTGGTGGTTCAAACCTACCAGCCACTCCTCCCAAAGGAAGGCTGGGCAACCTACTTGTGTAGTAATACTACCTCGGAAACCCAAGGAGGGGTTGCTATGAGTCGGGTCCAACTCGACGGCACGTAACAACCACCTTTTTTTTTTTTACAAACTTTCCTAGAAAAAATTTACAGACCAAAAAAAAAGGCGAAATATAAACAACAGATGTACTCAGAGAACAACAGCAATGCACAGTACATAATCATAGAACATGCAAAAGAAAGAAGAAGACTGAAGCTTTTCTCTGACTCTTGTACTCCTTGGAAGTATTTGTGGCTTTGCATCTGCACTTCCTCATATGTAGGTTGCATTACCAATGATTTTCTGATTTCATCTTTGTCTTGTAACTTCTGGCTTTCAGAGAATATTTATTAGGCTGAAGTAATTGTTTTAGTGGAAAATAACTGTGTCTTCCTTCTCTAACTGGTTTCTGCCTTACACAGGTTCTGGCTTTTGAAGGTTTTATTGCATTGCCAAACTGTTTTTCAAAGTGTTATACCAATTTACATCCATGTAAGTGGTATATTAGCGTTTCCATTGTCTGCCACCTTTATCAACAGTATTTATATATGTTACAATGACAAAAAATATGTATTATTAAATGTTTACATTTCATGTGTTGGGAACTTTTATTTATCAACTGCATAATGAATACAGACACAAAACACTCAAAACTGCACAAAGGCAGATACAAAATGAAAAGCAAGTCTTCCACCACACCCAGTCTATCTGTCCCCAGGAGTGACTACTTCAACTATTTGTGTTTCCTTCTGATGGTTACACCTCAATAATTCTAAATAAAATGCTTACACTTCAATTTCATAATTTAGCAGTAACTAAGGATGATGAAAGATAAGGAAATCAACATACTTAAAATTCCATCCTCCTCATAACTTCTGTCAGATATAGCAATACTTTCATATTGTCATGGTTTACCTTATCGATTTCTATGTTTGTATTTAGGGTTTGGCACTTTGCATGTAAGTCAATTTTTAAAACCGATACCAATCAATTTGCTAGCAAAATTATACTTAATGCAATTACTTCTTTCAAAATCAGTTAATATGACTGACCTTTTAGGAGAGAAAATGTAATTCTGTATCACTAAATTTGTTCCAAGTGTCCAGGTCAATAGATTCTCTTCTCTTAAACTATTACTAATTGCTCAAAATTATACCCTAATTTTTTATGAATTTGTAGATGGACCATAATTTCCTGTATGAATTTTTGCATTCCCACTGTTCTTGATTTTTTTCTTACTGATCAAAGTGTCAGGTGCCTTCACATAATCATAATCAAGTTCTTAATCATATTATTTCTTAAAAAATTAATCTTACGTATTATATATTTCTCATTATCCTTTAAATCAGACTGATCGCTTTTTAACTTCATCATGTAGCTATCATACCAAGAATTTTTTCCTTAGATTCAGTCCATTCTCTACTGGATTTTATCTCCTGTTTCTTGTAATCCTTTTTCCTTCTCTGAAGCATAATCTCAAGAAATTCACAAATTTGTAGGAAGTCAATGTCCTACACCATTGCAATGTTTTAATGTATTTTTATTTTATGCACATTTGATTTATAATTTGGTCAGCTCTTTAATTCTAGGTTGAAAAATTATCTAAACCCCACTACAAT